GGTGGTCCATCCTATGGGAGGGACTTAAGCAGACCCTGACACCAAGACCCACCCTCACCCCTGTCCCATCCCAGCTCTGTGCCCCGCTACGGGTGCTTTGTAAAGGGCCGTTTCCAGGCCCCGGGAGGCCAGAATTTCAGGCCCATCCAGGATTTGTCTGGCACCCTCCATGGCTATGTGGCTGAGGGTACTGCCAAGGACGTCCAAGACGCCGTGGAGGCCGCTCACCAGGCTGCCCCCAGGTAAGCGGGGTCACACAGGAAAGCCCAGGCGGGTTTCTGGGAGCCTGAAGACTGGGTGAGCTGTGGTGCCGAGGACCCAGGGTGGGAGCCATTGGCCCGTAGGGTGTGGACCACAAGGGCTAAAAGGAGGGCCATTTGGGAGTCCGGGTCCCAGGGAGCTAGGATCAAGCCCCTCCTTCCCTCGCTGGGATAATGGACCTAGAGGCTTAGCCTGTCCCCCAGGGTCAGAGCTGTGGAGAGAGTTGGGCACCTGAGAAGAACCAGGACCAGCATGCTGAACTGCCCCCCAGCCCCCAGTGAGCTCTGTCTCCCACAGCTGGGCGAGCCAGTCTCCAGAGGCCCGGGCGGCCCTACTCTGGGCCCTGGCGGCTGCGCTGGAGCACCGGGAATCTGTCCTGACCTCGTGCCTGGAAAGGCAGGGAAAGGGGCCCAAGGCCGCCCAGGAGGAGGTGAAGCAGAGCCTGGAGCGCCTTCGGGAGTGGAGGACCCCCCAGGCCCTGGGCCGCACCCTGCAGGTGAGGAGGGTCTGGAGCTGGCAGGCAGGAAAACACAACTCGGGCTCTGGAATGAGACCCCCCTGGGGCCTGCATCTGGCTCCACGCCTCCCCCTCAGCGATGCTACATAAGCAATAACGAGTTTCCCCCTTTGCACTTCAATTTCCTCATCTGTCAAGGGGGCATGCAGCCTGTGCAGAGAGTCGGGGTCAACCCCCCCTCCCTCGGAACAACACCTTAGGGCAGAACACACACACCCTGTCGGGTTTCCTGGACTGTCACCTTTTTGTGTTGTGTTGAAAACGTTTTATTGTTAATGAGGCACAGGTCTGGAGAGAAGATCACCCGTTTCCTAGCTAACAATTCCTGCACATTTTGTTTCCACTCAGCCACTGCAACCCCTTCCATGCGTGTCACCACTCCTCCCCGCTCCCTCCTTCTTTCCTAAGCCTCTGAATTCTGTCCTTGGGCGAGTGCTGTCCTGTCGATCTTAAACGGTGGAACTGAGGGCTGTAACCCCTGGGGTCCCACCAGTCTCGGTCTGACTCCATCGCTTTTGTGGTCTTGAATTCATTCCACATTGTCCTCCTCCAAG